TGTGTGTGTGTGTGTGTGTGTGTGTGTGTGTGTGTGTGTGTGTGTGTGTGTGTGTGTGTGTGTGTGTGTGTGTGTGTGTGTGTGTGTGTGCGTGCGCGTTTGTACCTCTCTCTACCTCTCCGTTTACCTCATTGTGTCTATGTACTGTTCTCTCTATCTCTCCCCCCTTATGTGCTTTTCAGGTTCCGAAGCAAGTGAGCTTCTTCCTTGTCTGCCATGAAGAGGAGTCTGAGGTGAAGCAACTGCTGAGGAAGCTCATCTCATCACGGGCGAATTTGCAGCCACCTTTGCCCGATTCTGAATGGGCATCTTTGTGGGTGAACATCAGGACTCTCCATGAGCGTGCGTTTCCTTTTGTCAACCAGGAATCGCTGCTGCTTGAGTTCTGCCGAGGAATGCTTCGAGCTGGCAAGTTCTCGTTGGCGAAGAACTACGTAAGGGGGACATCAGCCACATCGCTTCCTCTTGGAGATGCCGAGAAGCTTATCATTGACATCAGCCATGAGTATTTCCGTAACTCGTCGTCAATGGAGGACGCAGATGTAAGTAAATATGGCAACGATTGCCCAAGCAGCTCTTGTCCCGCACGTCCAGATTGAATTCCAAATTAAGATGTATGTGATGTGCCAAAAGCAGAGTGAATGCAGACGACTGCCTTATCTCGGAAACTTGAGACAAACATGGTCTCCGAACGTCCATGACAAAGAACAGGTCCCATGAAAGGCCATACTTATGGCATACAGAGAGCAAATGCCTCTTTACCCTCTGAAAAGTCGATAGTGCTTTCAATGCTCCAGATAAGTATGACTGCATCCCACTCCCAGTTCAAAGAACGTATATGGTGGTTAGCATTGATCAGGCACATACATCAGTGGGCGCAGAAGTCATTAGGGGCACTGAAATTATGGCTAAAAATGTCAGGGGTGTGCTGAAAAGGTTTTGTGAGGGGATAACTTTATGTGATCTGCTTTTGGATGTGTCAAGCAAGGTTTAAACCTCTGTACTTACTGATCGTCGTGATCAACAGATATCTTTTGTGCGGGAAAACAGGGTAAAAAAACACGCATTCTACAGGCCCTGCATCAGTCGCTAGATCGTTGGGTCAGTCTAAGTCCATGGAGTCATAGGGAACAGGGGTTTGAGAAATGTTCTCAGTCCAGCAGGACTAAGAACCGACAGGTTTTCCGGGCCATTCACGCCTGGATCCGAGTACTTCAGGCCGGGATAGGGCGATAGTCAGGCCCAGGCCAAGATGTTGCGAGTCTGAGTCGGAGGTTGGCCATGCTAAAGAAAAAAACAAAAAGGCACAGCTGAAGACTCTATCAAATGCACAGATCAAAGGAATAATACAGCCACCACACACACGGGACTAACTGTGGGCAGAAGATCGAGTCACACACCAGCGGAGAAGGGACGTACGTAGAAGGCCTATACACACTGGGGAAAGGAGGAGGAGGAGGAAGAAGGACTCAAGATACGGCAGTACAGATAATGCAATCCCTCTCATCCCTCAAGTAATCTCCTCCATTCAGTCGCCACAACAACAACATGCCTCAGGCCTCTGTCAAGGAGAGCAGTGCTTTCCAAAGGTATCAAACCATAATCAGGTCTCCCTGCCTCTCTCTAGAAGGAGAAGAGGAGAATAACAAAACGAAGAAACAGAACATCTCTCTCTCTCTCTCTCTCTCTCTCTCTCTCTCTCTCTCTCTCTCTCTCTCTCTCTCTCTCTCTC